TCTGATGGTTACATCTCTGTGCTCATCGAGGGCAGCTAAGCACAGCACAGATGTTACCCTCTGTCCTCTGCCAGTCGATGCCACAGCACAAACAAAAGCCTGTGACAGGGAGAATTAAATCATTGGTTACCCCATGTTACTACTGCTACGTGGCCAATCCAAGATTCGAATTCTGCTTTATTCACCTCCAAATACTATATCCCCTTATAGAAATTAATAATTTGAATAAACTTGTAAAGTTGTATAGGATTATTTTAAGTAAAAGGAAAATAAATAAATGTGAATAAAACGAACTTAGCTACCCTGGCCCTGTTCACCATTCTGAGGACCATGTGCTGGGGAAAGGAAACCTGTGTTCCAGCACATTCCTTCACCCAGCTTCACTGCATTCCTTGCATCCTACAGGCTTCCAGCAGACACGTCACTCATCACCTGTAAAGTGTGAGGAAGAGTAGATGGTGATCAGTAAGGGTGGGATGTTCCGGAAACCTCCCGCATGATACCTGTACCGTTGACCTCTGACACTAGCGTTGATTCTGAGCCCGCGATTCCTTTAGAAGGAAGAGGAAGTAGAAGACACAGCAGCTGATTCTTTGGACCCTCAGCAGCCTTGTGTGGAGAGCCTGCCTTTCTACCGTTCCGTTTATTTCTTCCCCACCTTCCCCTCTGATGTATTAGGACTTGTTCTCTACTGTGAGATGGGATTCCGCCATAAATTTATGAGATGTTCCTAATTTTAAAACAAAATGCCAATAATATTTTGTTCCAGTTTTTCTTCTTAAATAAAAAACTAAGCATTGCCCCCCTAAATACTGTAGCCTTTACTTGTACAAAACCCAAGTGCACATCAGACTCTGCACTTTTCTTTCTTTGTCCATCTGTTACAGCTTAATATAGGTAGCTAAACCACACACACATGGTCTCGTGTCCTTTGCTCTTGAAGATTCTATGACATTTAAAATCAGGCTCTATTCTTGGGGTGAGCAGCATTGTATCTAGGTTACAAACTAAAGTCTCTCATGCTTTTTTTCTTGGCGGCAGGGGAGGGTCTCACTATTACTTAGTTCTGGCTGGCCTGTAGATGACCAGGGTGGCCCCGAACTCACAGAGATGTGCCTGTCTCTGCCTCCTGAGTGCTGGGATTAAAGGCGTGCACCACCACTCCTGCTTCACATGTATCTTGAGTTGCAATCTGAGCTGCTTTTCCTAGGGAAGCTCAGTGTCAGATTTTTTTTTTCCCCTTCTTAAGGCTTTGAGTATTTTGTAAAAGCCTCTGATGATGCAGCCTTTTCATATAGTAATCACCGTCAAAGTGAGAGCTGTTCTATTTGTTTTAAAGAGGACTCCCCTTCAGAGAAGAGACAGCAAGAAATCCTGCTTCTACCACTAACTCAAAGAAAGGCCCAGATTGTCACCATGACAGAGTGGTGGAAACCTCTCCTACTGTAAATTTCAGTAGGAGTTTCTGCTGAAAGGCCGCTGAGGAAATATGTTTGAAATGGGAAATGCAGGTAACAGAGGCAGAACCATTAGCTCATATTGCATGCTAAGCTGTCTTAGAGACAGACATACAGTTCATTGGTTCCTAAAACACTCAGGGTGCACCTAATATATCCATATCAATTATTGAAATTGGACTCTACTGAATTGTTTTATTCTTAAGAAAATCAGTGTCAAGGTGTTTAGGCTTTAAACATGACTTCTGTGTAAATGTAATTATTACTTAGACTTATAACTGCCAAAAACTTGTAATAGCCAAAGTATGTATTATGTATATATATATATATTATATATATAATATATTATATCAGCTCATAAAATTAAAAATACTGATTGTCATAGGATGCTCTAAATTAGCATTTCCCAAACATATGGGTTTTTTTTCATTCTAGAATATTTTTTTAACACTGAATGTAATAACTGGTTCACTACAGGGGCACAGTAAAATGATCACAGTAACAAACAAAAGTGGATTAATGTTAATTGACTCAAACAAATGAAGATAATCTTCCTAGGTAAATAATTAATAACAACAAAAAAATGTAATAATGAAGAGGAGCGCTGTCCTCAGGCCAGTGTTTCTTGTGCGCTAAGTACTATGTGCAGCACTGGATTATTTTACTTGGTCACCACAGAGATGTTATGAGATAGGCAGTGTTGCTTCTCCTTAGAAAGGTGAGAACTTACAGAGTTACTTCCCCATATAACACAGATGATCCCCTTGAGGCCTCACACCCACACCTTTCAGCGTGGATATACATCCATAGCGCCCTTTCTTTCCGTCTGTTCCCTTCAGAGTAGAGCTTGCTGCCGTGTGAAAAGTCAAGGCGCCCTCCTGTCTCTAATACACACACTTATACTACCATCTAAATCCAAGTTTACAGTGGGTGCCAAAAGTGACTTTTTTGCTTATTAAATGAGCATTTACCTAAAAAACTAAATACGTGTCATTTCCAAAAACTGCTAGGTAGTTTTGTCTTCTTAGTTTTTTTTACCCTAATCATCGCCATGAGACTGTTCTAACACATAATATGGTGGAGATTGCTGCACTGTGCAACTGAACATATCAATGAGGTCCGCAAGTCATTCACTGTGTTTCCTTTGTCTGCTTGTGTTTTTGTTTGTTTGTTCTTGGTTTTGTCTTGTTTTTGGCATTTTAGTCAGAGTCTAGTCAACATTCGGAAAGCCATTGTGACAGAAGACAATAATTTATAACCATAAAAATTTGAAGTGATTTTACTATTGCTCTATAAAGGATAATAATTCCATGAAAACTTGAGATTAAAACCCAGTCTTTCTGTGAAATTCCCCCTAAGAAATGTCGTTCTGTGTTACATTAATTGGTAAGTTTGCAGAGAAGTTATGGATTTTATTATGGCACTCGCAGACACACATGTATCTGGCTATCCCTCCTTGTTTTCACTCACCCCCTTCTCCCACCCTCCTCGCCCATCTCAGAGAGCTTTGTTTCCCTTAGTCTCTGGGCCAGTTCTGTAAAGACGATGATGGGGGCCCTGAACTTACTCCACTTTGTCAACTGATTTCCTAACCTGTCCACATGGAGTCAACGTTTGAGTGTGACATGCGAAATGTTTTATTTTGACAAGTGAGGAAAAGGTGCATAATGGTGATGCATCCTTCACGTCAGATTTCTCACATTGTCCCCATCATTTGTCCTCTTCGAAACAAATTTCGTTTTCTGTGTAATGTTCCTGTTTTCACACCGGCACACACCACGTCATGGGAATGCCGAGCTGCTCTGACTAAAGCATCACGACTGTCATGTCGGGTGTTGCTTTTTAGAGTTAGTCACAGCCTGTGAGTGCACACTTCCGCTGCTGCTGGTATGTAATGTTGTTTCCCAGCTTTGACGGAAGATGGGGGAATCAGCAGGGCTCTATGTCTTCCTCTCCTCACTTTCATTTGCTCTTGCTCCCACTCAAAGCTCCATTTTGTTATTTGAGTACCACATTTTAAAAAGCTAGTATCTGAAGAAATTGATGACTTAGATTGACCTTAGTATTTTGCTTCTGTTTCTGTGATATCCGTTATTGTTCTGTTTGACATTGCTATTGGCATAACATCACATTCTCCAAATAATTGCACTGAAGCTGGCTGAACACATGAGGTCTCATGAGGTGGCTGTCATCCTAGCAACAGGCAGCTGGCACACTTGCACTTGGAGGCTGGAGTATATTCATTTAAAGACTCTCTATTTAACTAGAAACTATTCAAGGCTCCCTAGTTAGGTTCTATGACAGTTCTCCATTGGTCAACTAAAAGTAAACTTTGCTTATTGGGAATGGGAATATTTTTTTGTTTCAGGTTTCTATGATCAATTATGTTTTTAGTAAGCATTTCTGATGAGTTTTTTTCTTAAGTTTAAAAGCGGCATTTTATAACTGAATAATATTAATTTGAAGTCCATTTAAACCAAATCACAAATTTGAATAGTCCAAATATAAATATATTTAATATTCTTATCTACTCCAAACAAACCCTGTTGTTTTCTTTGGACTAAATATTGCTATTACATAATGAGTGGACACAATAAATTAGAATATTTAGATTAAGTAAATAGAGAAATAGTGGGACTGGAATTGTTATAAAATTCTAGCTTTATGAATTAGAGCAAGATTGTTATTTTATTATCATATATATTGTTTTAATAGAATAATAACTTTGTGAAGACTTTTCTCTGTGCAAAATTTTGTTACATTATTTATTTTATTCAGTGTTGAATATAACATTTTTAAATGCCCCAATTTTGGTTAGGAGGATAGAACAAGCAACATGCACTTTTCTTGTGGGCTCAAAAATGCAGGTATGTATTGTCTGCGTTGCTGAACTGCCCAAACCTAGTCACAGAATATGAATGTATTACTATGTAATACTGTCATATAATACAGAAATAGCATCTCATGAAGGCTGATGGGCCCTTGTTATACTCACACATTTTAAGAATCTGGTCAATGGGTGTGTCTCTTTCTAACGTAATCACTTATTGATTAGGAAAGAACATCAAGTTGGAGGTCCCATTTGACATTTGCCTTTATTTGGAGGTGAACAAAGAAGCGTTGTTTATAAATTTTTATCCTAATTAATTAAATTTGATGTAAGAATCAGGAATGTACCCAATATATTCAAAAAGTCAATCCTTGCTACATAGTTTTTTGTGTGTGGTATATTTAATTTTCTTATATCATCGTTACTGCTACATGTGTATCCAGTATGGGCCTACTAATATTAACTAATTGAAGACAATGTTTTTATAGTGAGAGTTCATTGGACCAGTGGGGTTTGGGACACAGGGTAGGTGGAGTTTCAGAAAGTACTGTGCATCTTTAGTTGAGGGTTGGGGATGAGTCTTACGAATGCCAGAATGAGACACAGCTCATCTCTGAGTGTGAGGGTCATAGGAGGGACATTGGCAAGCTTGTCACCCTGGGTCCTTCACAGTCTTTTCCATCCTAAAGGTGTCTGTCTGTCTTGTCTTCCAGTTCTGCACAAGCAGCCCCGAGAAGTGTGTCTCTGTTTGCTAGAGCTTGGCCGGATCGCAGCCAGGTAGGTAAGACCTCCTCTATCACATCAAGGCACGGACACATCTCAGCCTCAGGGAACAAAAGCACACTGACTTCTCATTACTGAAATTCAAGCTGGATTCGAAGAAACCATTTAGCAAATAGAACTGCTTGGATCGCCTTGAAAGCCATAGTTAAAATTAAACGTACACCTCTAGTACTCTCAATACCGCAGTCATGTGGCCAGGACAGTCTTTGCCTAAGCTGTCATTGATACCATTTAAGTAAATCCATTTCCTTTCGTATCTTGACGGAGCATGGAATGCAATCCTCTATGCCTTTAAAGCTTATGCATTTATTTTTACTTATGTTTGTATTCTGTGCCTGCTTGTCTGTGTGCATGTAGGTATTGAGATCACATGAGCCAGTAAAATAGAGTAAGAGATAGCAATGAGTGAGGTTAAATGGAGAATTTATGTAGAAAATTAGGAGAAAGAAAACGCCAACTTTACATTGTAAAACTGTAGCCCATTAACAAACACTGCCAGTGAACATATCCTTTTTTAAAATAGTCAGAAATAATCCCAAGGTCTTTAAATCACCATAGCCAATAAATTTTTAGTGAATTATGCAATATATAAGATTTTTTACTTTATCGCAGTAATTACAGTGAAAAGGATTGATTCAAAATTTTTAATTAAAATTAATATTACTATATGTTTCCCAACAAGGAAAAAATGAACTATTTGAAGATTTCCCTAGCCCCAGACCACTTCCAGATAACTGTCTAAAGGCCTTGGGGGACACTCAGGGTTTGACCTTCCAGACCCAGGCCAAGCTTGCATCCATTGGCCAGGCAGAATGCCACGCCCCTTGGGTTCTGCTGCATCCTTGAATTGGGTGGGAGAGGGCACAGGACAACGGTACTGCTGCGTACAGAGACAAGCCTCCTCCACTAGCTTTGGACCTACTGCCCAAGCCGGAGGAGTGGACTAGAGACGACCTTCGCCCCAGGAAGCAACAGACACTAAGAAAAGGCATAATCAACCCACAGCTGCCTCAGAGATACTCAACTAGAAGGAGCTCAGAGAGTCTAGCAGTTTTATTAAGAAAACACTGTGTGATATAATTACGTAGATAAATAGGAGAAAAATGCCAGCTTCTGCGTTGTGCTGAAACAGTCCAAATGGATTTGTTGGGTGTCAGGTTTTGAGAACTGAGAGTAACCACAGGAAGACTGCATCCACACAGCAGCTGGGGCTGTTACATCCCTCATCTAGCTGATAGTTATCTTCCTGCTGTAAAATGGTTATTTCATAACTATTTTTATGACATTGCTACATTAATTCAGAAAGAACATTTCTACTCATGGTTACCACACCATAGGTGAAGCTTGGCTACCAGCTTTAGACCTGGCATTAATTACCTTTGACACAGGCATGTAAAATTAATACAGATCTTGGTTAACAAAGAGAATAATTTTTCTCAATTTCAATGTACAGTGTCATGTGAAGAGTTTCCCCTTTGATATAATTAACTAATTAATTAGTCAATCAATTAGTTTATTTTAAAACTAGGTCCCCTGTAGGCCAGGCTGGCCTCCCACTCTGTGTATAGTGGAGAGTGACCCTGGTGTCCCACCTCTACTTTCCCAGCTCTAGGATCCTAGGCATGTACCATATGAGGAGCACAGGGCGCTAGAGACCCACCCCAGGGCTTGGGCATGTTGAGCAAACACTATGTGCTGAGCTGTATCTAAAGCTCAGCACAGATAGTTAAGGCAGTGGTTGTTCTGTACTGATCTGTACATACCCACGTTTTATGACCACTCGTGTTAAGATAAAGGCTGAATTAATTACAGAAAGTACACCATCAGAGTCAGTATCTCATGGCAGAGTTGACATTAAGCTCACCTCAGTATTGCGATATTGTAGATTGTATTTCTGTCTCCCTCAAGTGAGTGGGTCTTATGAAGCAGTATATGCTTTTCAGTACAAAAGAAAATGGGGTAGTGCACTCCTCTTGCTGTTACCTTAAACAATTGAAGGGATGCCAGTCAGATAACTGGTGTTCAGGTAAAATACCTATTTGTTTCCTTCTGAACACATCTGAGCTATTTGTTTGGTTTACTGGAGGTTCCTGAAGTAGGACAGCATGAAGGAAAGATGCTCGCCACCCCCATCTAGTCCCGTTTCACGTAGAAACTCTGCCTCAGGTTTAGATCTAGATTTAAATGCTTGAAGTCACTCCCTCCTCCGGTGTCCACTGCTGGAGATCACACAGATGAGTGCAGTTGAGCAGCTTCAGCTCACACTCAGAAACCACATTCATCTTCTCCTATAAGGATGCCCTTGATCTTACCAAAATTCCTAAGTCCCTTGAGTTTTCTGCTGTTTGCACTGAAAGGGGATGCCTTCTTACACTCCACTCTACATGGTACCTGCAGATCTCGCATGTGTGCTCCTAAGAGCACCAACATCACTCGATAAATGCTTCTGGGAGTGTTCCTGAGCCACTGCTCTCTTCTTCCGCCTGGAGACCCTCAGCAGAACTCCTTGAAGAACTGGAGCCAATCTGGGCTCTGGGGTGGTGACAGTACTTTTGTTCTCATGGCAAAAGTTTTTAGTTTTTAACTATACAGAGCTGTCATTGTTGGATGGTCAAATTTCTCTGCTAGTATTTCAGAAAAATATACATTTCTGAATGCAAGAAACATGACATTGACCAAACCAACTCAACAAAATCAAAAGATTCTTTTGGCCAGTATTTTAGTATTAATTCTACAAAATGAAGAAATAAATGACTATGATTTCAACGTCTTTTCAGACTGCAGGATTGAGGTTGTTCATCATGAAAATGACAGCTTCTGAGATGGTAGTGTGGTGGCAAGGGTGGGTGTCAGCAGGACACCACATCATCTCATGACTTTGGGTTATGGTGCTCCCTTGATCCAGAACAACTTTATAACTATTCAAAGGAAATATTTGAGAACATTTTCTTTAATCTTATTTTCAGTCATGGTCTAATGAAATGTTACTTAAAAGAAAAGTGATCGTGTGTTAAGATCACTACTTGACTCACTTGGAGGACCTGCAAGGACTGCTGGGAGTTTATGTGTCCTTTCCCATGGCTCGGGCATTTTCCACATATAAATCTCAGTTTACATTGCCTTAAAATAGGAAAAATGGGGCAAAATTATCTGGCAAGAATCTATAAACCATCTGTTACATGCCTTAGAAAGAGGGAGTTTCATTAGTCTATAAAATTTGTCCCCCGACCCTACTACAATGGAACACAGATGTCTTTTGTTGGAAAGTACAGTCTACTAAATAGTTTGAATATATTTTCTAGGGCAGGAATGAATTTGGTAGTGCATTAATTTCAGTTAGCTTAATCCCAAACACCACATCCTGTGCCGGAAAAATGAAAGACCCATTCCTATATTCTCCCCATACAGTCACCAATCCCAAGACTCCCTAACTTGTTACTTTTTAATGAAATGAAAGTAAGTATCCAGCCTCCCATTATTTATACTATATTTGTATTTCTGGGCTCTGCAGGAATCAGGACTTAGCTTTAGTGAATTCAGATTTCTTAATGACTCCAGTTGGATCCCTATTGGGGTTGATAAAAGGAAACCCCCTTACCCCCAAAGTTCTAACACCCTGTTCTTGGAAAGAAGGGGAAACATTAATTTGTGAAAATCTTATAGAAAGAATGGACATGTGAAGAGGTATAGAAGTTATCATTGATACTAAACCAAGGTATCCTTTTGAAGAACAGAACAATGCACCTGATGACTAAGTTGGCTTGCAGGTGCAAGTCTCCATCCTTGGAGGTGGGTCATGATTTACAGCCTGCTGACCCCTCCGGACTGACAGGAAGCCAGTGAATCATATTCCAGCATCCATTCCAGTACTGGCTGACTCTACCCTGAGCAGCTTGAAGAATTCAAACGCCATTGTAAGCAGCAATTCCAGGCTCAGTGCTGACTCTCTGTGTCAGTGGCACAGCTAATTTTCAGCTTTCCCAGGTAAAGAAGGATCTCCAAGGAAACATTTTCCATGCATGAGTATCTTACAGGTTTATTCAAAGCCGACCTGTTTGTTTCATGTTGGACATGAGTTGAACCTGTTGCTACTCTAATAGCATATTTGCTATTGTTTTATTTTTAAGACAAAGTGTATACATCTTATTCTTAGGAGGCAGCCTTCACCCACCTTCAGTTGAAAATGAAATCTTTTCCAATCTGTTTAACTTACATTTTCAAATATGATGTTTCCACTTATAATTGACACAGAGTTGGCTGTGATCACAGTGTCTTGGATTCCTCCAGACTTACAACCAGGTTTATATAATTCTCTTGAGAACATTCAACACAGGCAACATTTATACCTTGATGGAGCTAAGAATCCACAGACGTCTAGAGCAGTTAAGAGTGTGGTCTTCCAAAGTCCCTCTGGCCTGTCAGTAGCAAAGCTGAGGTTGCTGGGAATCAGGTGTGGTGTTCTCTACCACGATAGAGTCTGTAGGGTACCAAGTGTCTTGTAACAATTCATTGATTGGTTTATAAGTACAAAAGGTTAGAAATATGAAATGTGGTGACTAGATCTTTATAGCAACTGTTTTCTCACTATGGAACAAAACTTGCTTAATAGATTAGAGGCTGTTGTGACATGGTAAGCTGTTTTACTGGATTCTTACAAAAGCTTTGCAGCTCTCAAAAGGCATGTGATACACAGAACCCTTCTCACTATCCAAATTCTGAGAAAAAAAGACAATGAAAAAGAGGGACAGATGAAATATCAAGTGTTTCCTTTATGACTGAAAAGGCCCAAGTTACCAGGCCTACTGGGTGCCTATGACTGGACTCTAGAATCAGGCATCAGCAAGGATGAAGCAGTTTGGGGCTTGTGCCCTTCCTGGAGGTGTAAACCAAGTCAAGCCTGATCAACAAAGCTATGTCCTTTCATCTCAGAGGGAAGAGTAGGTAATGAGCCAAGAGGCCAGGAACTGAACCAACTGGACCCCCGTCTGTCAGAACAAAGCATCACCAGAAGGAAAACTGCCTCCCTAGAAATTTGCACTGCACTTGTGTGCAATGGCATCTGTTAAAGAAATGAAGCACAGCAGGAGGACACACACACGTTTCCATTGGCTGCTAAATTGACACAGTGCTCATCCAAAAGCAGTGAGCACAGTGTCAGCATTTCCTCTCTGCTCACAGACTATTTGAATGGGATCTCATCCACAACCTACTGTTTGGTTTCTCTTGTTTTGTCTAGCGATAAGGTCTCTCCAACTAGTCTAGACTGGCCACAAACTTAATGTCTTCATGCTTCTGTCTCCCAAGTGCTGGGATCACAGGTGTGTGCTGCCACACTTGGTTCACAACAACCTTTTAATCACCAAGTGGTGTTTTCTCTCCTTTATAATAAACAATCATCTGATCAGAAAGTGTAGACAAACTGACAACAGAAGCCTGTATTTGAGACTCTGTCCTGTCTCCGTCTTCTGCAGACATTCATCTTTCTGTTAATAAGTGTATGCCTAGATTATTTTCTACATGCCTCACAGTTGTCAAGTTCTAGAATTATCTTTGTGGTGTCCCCTACTAAGCACAGTTGATATGGACCTATAAAACTCAGTACATCTTTAAGTTTTAATTAAGGAAAACCTGATTGTAGGAGATACAATGATGGCATCCACGATCACGTTCTCTCTTGCCCTCCATCCCTCCTCCTCTGTCTCCAAGTCTCCTGAGCATGTATAGTTTCCAGACCTTTTATATGTTGTTGTTCTGAATTATTCTTGTGTCCTCTCCCTGTCATAATGTTTGTGCTTTCCTTGTGCTATTCTGCAGGGCTTAGCTTGTGCTATTGTGAACCACATGCATTGCTCTCAGTGTATAAGGACTGAACAGCTCATAATGATCTCTTCTGTGTAGAATCAGTTACTTCTTTTTCTAATTAGGGTTCTGATGTTTTAATTTTGATATCAACCCTCTGTTTTAATCTTTATCATTAACAAACATTTTAAATAAGGCTTTAATGATAGCACTAATATCGTCAATTCTGTTACAGAAAAAGTTCAAGATAAATTCCCTGTGGTGTTCAGGTCGCTGAGACAGAAATATGCTAAATTGAGTATGTTTGCATCATGTACCTCCATGCATATGCACTTATACACATCAGTTACATGTTTTTTACCCTGCTCCAAGAATGCTAATTCACAAATGCTAATCCCATTTCAAGGTCAGAGAGTTCATGCCATTGTAAAAGGCAATTGTTTATGGTACTCAGAATCCCAGATATTGTACCATTATTACATTGTTGTAATGTGTGTGTGATAACAGTGTCATGTTCTTGAAAGGTATGGTGTGGAGCCTCCTGGTCTGATAAAGCTGGAAAAAGAAATTGAACAAGAAGAGACACTTTCTGCCCCGTCTCCTTCGCCTTCTCCTTCATCCAAGTCTTCAGGAAAGAAGAGTACTGGGAACCTACTGGATGATGCAGTGAGTGGAGTTTACAAGTCTTAATAGCAGTTTTTTCTTTCCAACTACAAAACCTCCCCTGCCTTGTCAGATCTTTCTGACCTTGCTGCATTTCCGCTCCTTTGAATTCACTTTAACTCCGACAAGAAAATCTGTGCTCCTACAGCTCATCCTGAAACTCAAAGCCGAACCAGTGGTTTAAAATAAAGTGCCACTTAATTCCATTGAACAGTAGCTGAAACCCTAGGAAATGAGTCAACTCCTTGACAATGGTTTTTGAAAACACTTAAACCTGTTGTTATTCGTTCCCGATTCCTCCTTTCATGGAGACAAACTTGAAGCCCAGAACCTTGAGGATTGTTGAGGAGGGGGACACAGCCTCTGACAGAAAGATGACTGCACTTGATTGATTGCCTGGTGCTGGCCAGAGTTGACCATCTCTTCCTGAGAGCTCTTAATTCTGAGACGAAGGTTGCTTGCAGAGGGTGGAAATGGGATGTTTCATGAGGCTCAGAGGAGAGGAGCTTAGGACCCATCGGTGTTTATCTACTCTGCAGTCCTCTAGGCACAGGCTTTTAGTGATTAGGACATAGCCATGATAGCCTTATTGTAAGGATAAGCAGTTCCTAGGGATACCAAACCATCCTTGCTCATGAGAGTGGTGTATTGGACAGTTACTCCCATGTGCTATCATGTTCATATCTTAAATGCATGAAGACATTAATAAACAAGAGGAACCATGAGTGAGTTGTCTTGATGTTGCTTAGACAAAGTTTACATTTATGGACTATAATTGCCTGCAAACTTATAGGACACAAGAGTGTGAGAGGCATAAGACTGAAGTATGTCTTGCCAGAGCGAGCAAAGTCCTCGGAAGACTATCTTGATGCCAGCTGTTTATAGGATACCAGCTGCCAGGACTGCAGGCCCCCCTCTCTAGGGTCTGAGCTGAGAGAGAGTGGGAGGGTGGCTGATGAGCGCTTTCAGATGCAGGAAAAGACATGCACCCGTCTTTTGCTTTTCTCCACATGACAGATTTTAAAAAGCAGAAACTTCACAACTGCCCGAGCAGCTGTGAGTCCCCACAAAGGCAGCAAACTTCAGCTTGGCCCACCAAGGTGTCTCATACAGTACATTTTAATCTGACTTCTTTTTGGTAGCTGCTCAGAATGTACAAATAGCCAGGGAGCTTTCCTACCACAGGAAGGTGCTTTGGAACCCTTTTAGGATCAGTCACATGCCTTGCTTCTCATAAAGCTTCATTTTCAAACTTTGTACAGTAATTGGATGATATTGTATAATATTGAAGGCATGCTCTTTATATGTTGAGAGTAATTTTTCCATAGTGCGTTATACTTTTTCTTTAGACTTAGTGTGAGTTCAGTCTTCTTGCAAATGTGTCCCTGGGCTGCCATACCCATTCTGACTCCTTCCCCTCTCCGCTGTGACATCTACTGACATTCTCTCCTCCCCATACTCTGGTGCCAGGCCTGAAGAGTGTCTGGCTAGTGTTATCTTTACTTCCTAATTCCTCAGCCAGGGGGACCTCTCAGCTCTCATTATGAGGTCCATGCCTATTTTTACGGTAGCTTTGTTTTTTCACTAGATTCTTAAAATTCCTCCATGCCAGTACCCCTGCAGCCAACATACTGTGACAGAATGCAAGTGTGGTTCAGTTAGAATTATTGTAGACACCTCTAGGATCCACCTGAAGCCCTGCCCAACTGACGCCTCACATGTCTCCTTGTTATGTGTTTTCCAACTCTTTTGTCCTTTGAACCACTTCGTTCATGTTGAAGTAGCAGTTGTTAGTTCTTCAACGTATTTCTTGAGACTTTTCTTTTCTTTTTTTTTTTTAATTTCAAATGTTCAGCCAATAGCTCAGGTGTATTAGTAGTTAGTGCTTACATTTTAAGTTAACCCATATTCCTTATTTACACACTGCCACATGGCAATACCTTTATTAGCATGGCAGGCTAGGCTCACAACCAAAAATATAAGATACTTTTCTTTTAAATGTGTATTTTAGTTTGTGTTGCCTTCCATTGTGTGCATGTGTACCTGTGGCGTGCTTGTATGTGCACACGTGTGTGTTCACGCTTGCAGAGGCTGGAGGCCTAACTACTTTTTGGTAGTTCTTTACCTTCTTTTTGTAAAGTATTATACAGGACCTCTCACTAAAGCTGGAGCTCACTGTTTCAGGCCAACTAGCTGGCCAGAGAGCTGTAAGGATCTCCCTGTCTCCATTCCCACCCAGTTTCAGACATGTGCTGGCTTTTTTTGACATGTCTGTTGAGAATCCAAAGTCAGGTTTTCATATCTGCATGGCAAGCGTTTTACCCACAGAGCCATTTCCTCAGCCCACACGTGAAGATTTTTCTTGGCATTTCTTACCAATTGTTGCAACTTAATTATTGTTGTCTAAAGTGTTTGTAAGTATGCAGTGAGGCAGTTGTCAATGAGGCCTAAATATCCATTCCTCTCAAGGTGCAGTCTAATTTTCACAATCAAGTATGGTGCTTTATTGGTCTACATCTCCCCCGCTCCCTGGTACAGACACTCAGTGAGAAGTCTCCTCTCTGTCCTCTGTATCCAATCATGTCTTCTGAAACATCTGCCTAAGTGCTCTTCTGTCCTGTTGTAGATGAAATAGGTACTGCCGTTTGAGATCATGTGTCAGAACCAGGGCCAAGGAGCAATGATGCTCCCTCCCATTTCTCCACCAGCTTGTCTCAGGGCTAGCCAGTCTTCATCTTTGGGAAGGGGAGAAGTAGGAAGAGAACCCCCCCCCCCCGAGGTGTAGAATAACTCGGAGAGGGATTAGAGGCTATTTCATCAATATACCACTAACTCAGAACAAAAGAACGGTGTTCTAGAGACCTAAGACAGCAGTCCCCTCAGCCTGTGCCACTAAGGACTGTTCTTCCAGGTCAAAGCTACGTGGGCACTTCAGAGGAACCTTGAGAATATAACTATCTGTTTAATGAAGGAATGTGCATTGGAGGACACATTTAATGTGCTAAGTGGACACATCTACCTCTTACCAGTGAGAACTCTTGTGTCCCATAAATCTTAAGACCAGCATTTCTCAAGGAATGCTTGAAGAAATACTACCACTACAGTACCCTGTGGGGAAAGGTTAGGTCAGTATAAGAAATTCAAAGTAGTGCTGTCTACCTGGCATTCAGAGAGTCTGCCAACATCACACAGACTCTGCTGAGCTCCCTTAAAAGATCTAGTTGACCTAGAATTTCTCAAATGTACTAGAACATAAACCTTTTTGTGATAGTTTCCTCCATTCTTCAGTCTTGTAAACTACATTGAATTCTTTGCATTGTGTTTAAGTGATGGTTTTTCACTGAAGTATTTTATCTCAAAGACAGTGAGACAGAAGGAAAAGTAATTTGAATCTCATTAATGGTTTAAATCAGATCCCTTTTATCTAAGGTAAAAAGGAAATAGTTACCATTACAACCATTTCCCCATACACCACGCACATGTAGCCATTTGGAACTGAACTTGAGGTAACTCAATAAAAGTAGCGAGGAAAAGAATTTAAAAGAAAGATGATTCTCTAAGTTTCTGTGTGTAATTAACACTGGGTTGTTTCGTACAAAGTTATTGTCCGCTACCCCCTCCCCCCACAAACAAAAGAAAGATGAGGGTGGGTACGGAAGAGTAAAGGAAAGAAGCCAAGGAAACAGGAACGGAGGAGACAGAAGGAAAGGGGAGCCTGCCAGGATGATCATGTTCCAGCGGAGGACTTCAGAAAGAGCCGGGCTGAAAGCACCTTTGTTTGCTCACATGCCCTAGTCTGAGTCTTAGGGGAACTGCAGGGGAATAGGCGACCTTTTCTGTGGACAATACCACCCCCCTTCCTTAATCAAGATCTCACAGAGGAAACACAGTGGTGTCCATTCGGATCGCTTTATTCCCTATGTCCTGATGCAGAGATCCAGCTGTGATAGGCGGCCAGGCTTGGCCGGGCTTTACCTTCCCTTGTCTTAAGCCCTCTCTCACGAGGAGTTGAATGCAGTTCTAAGAAATGGCTCTTACTGTCTCCTTCTCTTCATCAACTTCCTCAGTCTGGGGATGAAAGATAGTGGAATTCTGAGTAACCAGGCCCCAATTGAAATAACATGTCAGCCCCAAACTGGCTGGGTTCCTAGCCAAGAACAGAGCACCTGGCAGGGAGTTACCTCCTGGTAATGTAAGAAGCAGGGCTGTCATCATTCACCATTAACTTAACAATGTGTTTCCAATGCCCCTGGTCTGGCCTTTTCCCTTCTATTTTTTCCTCTGCCCTTGACGTAAATGAAAAAAGAAAAGCAAGGCCTTGCTTTCCAAACAAACAAATAAGTCTATTTTTGTAGTGAGGAAGGCATGAAGAAAAGGCAGGCCACTTGAGAAAATGTTCCTGGTGCTAATTTGACACTAATAGGATCTGTATTTTTTCTAAGGATCCTGCAAGATGGAGATGTTGCCCACACAGACTCAGGATTGTCCTTTGTCAGTAGAGAATTTGCCCAGTAAGTTTTGATGCCTTAGGCTGTGAGTTTTGTTGCTCTCTGGTCTCCTAGGTGACAAAGATCTCATCCCTGTCTCCTAGCTCCTTTATGTTATCCCCACTCTTTTTTTCAAAGCCCCTGTGGTAGTGGTGAGGGTGCTCTATGTATATGGACATTTTACAAACATCTGTAGGAAGAGATATACACAGAAAACACTAAAATAGTGCATCAGTGCATTCCAGACCGCTGACCTCATGGCTAGTTCAGAATGCGAGTCTGCTCTGTAAGGGATTGCTTCACTATTTCCCATCATTTAGGTCACTTGCTTTAGCATTACCATAACAAGATGGCAAAAGCTCAGATTTCTTTTTTTTTATTTGTTTGTTTGTTTGTTTTTTGAGACAGGGTTTCTCTATGTAGCTTTGTGCCTTTCCTGGGACTCACTTGGTAGCCCAGGCTGGCCTCGAACTCACAGAGATCCGCCTGCCTCTGCCTCCCGAGTGCTGGGATTAAAGGCGTGCACCACCACTGCCCGGCCGCAAAAGCTCAGATTTCAAATCCGTGGCCTGATTACTAACTGAATGACAGATGTTCCCTCACTCTTCAGTGAAAGTCATCTTTAAGGCTGTCTGGATCCAGGCCTCCCTCTGCTCCAGTGATTTCCCTGTCTCCTGTGAAGATCCATTCCATTGTTAGTGTGATTATTTTATGTATGTGTCCAGTGTCCATCTGTTGAACTCTTTTCTATTCCATTAGGGTGTTAGGCTTTATGTCTAGGGTTTAAGATGAGATAAAATATTATCTTAGCCTTTGGGGAACTAAACCCATCAAGGAGATGCTAAGGTTAACCACTAGGCTCCTGTCACAGTAACGACTCAGAATCTTAGGCTTGTGTTGTTGGAAAAATTTAGGATGGGAGAAGAGACTGATGGGTGTGTGTGTCCTGAGTTAGTTCTTTCATTTTCAAGATAGTGTTATTTTGTTTGTGTCATTGAGGCACAGTTTGCTTGTTCTTAAGATAATTTTTTTCTTGCATTCCTCTACCATTCCTGGTTTATACTCTGGTGTCTTATGCTTTCATACTTCTGGAATCTTCCAAACTCTAACAAAACCATTGTATAATTCTTTTGTAACAAAAATTAAGGGAGTTCATAAATTACTTTCCCTGTAGTTTTTGCTTGGTAAAAGAATGATTGAATTCCAGTCATTATACCATTAAAAATAATGTTTGAGGTCTTGAGTGATGGCCTGGGGTTGAGAATGCTTACTGTCGATGCATGAGGACCCTCATAAAAGTAAGACCTGGTCACACTGTCCTGTAACCTCAGTGCTGTGGGGGTGGAGACAGGAGGATCTCTGGAGAGCATGCCTGTCACTGGCTCCACTAGCTCCCCTAGTTCAATGACAGACTCAGTCCCAAGGGAATAAGGCAGAGAGAAACAGAAGAGATCACCTGGTGTCCTCCTGCTCCTCCTACACACACACACACACACACACACCAAACATATGTTTGCATACACCATACACTGACATACTTATAAACAGAGTAAATGAATAAGTAAATGAACAATGGCTGGATTTTTTGGATGACCACTGTAAGTATCCTAACTTTCTTATCTGTTGAATTAATTTTATCTTTACATGGTAGCTACTAACAGCTGATTATAGTTCAAGGAAATTATGGTTGAAGTATTTGACATTGAACATATGAGATATTTGGGTTACTCTGGATTGTCTGAAAAATACTTTCTCATTTAAAAACATTCTAGAAGTTGCATGGATTATGAAACAAGTGAATTTTCTAGCGATATTCTTAAGATTTGCAGTGTTCATGCATGTTCATGAGAACTCCAAAAGAATATTAATCAGTCATGTTTTAATTACTCATTTTAAATGTCAGCTAATGCAATATTTGATACCTAAGATGGGGTGAAGTGCAGATGATTCTGAGTGATCCAGTGGTAAAATTTCAGGGGAAAATCTTAGAGTTTCAAACAAAACAAAAGAAGAGTTTCCAAAAAAACTGTTTTTCATTTATTTCAAACCTAAATAGATTAGTGGAATGGGATTGTATTGAAGAAACATTCTGTGTCACATGAATTTGCCCCAGCTTTCAGTGTGGTTAGCCTATGCACGCTTTATTTTACCATTCAGTGCCTTTGTTGTGTGAACCCCCCACACATGGTCTTTCTGGCTGTCCAGCTCGTGGCTGCTGTCATCACAGCTAATCTCATCTGATGGCCTCCCTCCTCATCAGTATCATCATCAGCCATACACTCAGAACCTCAGAAGATGCTTCCAGACCCCGGTATTCACACTTCCCCCAGGGACCCTGTCTTAGTTAGGGTTTTATTGCTGTGAAGAGATGCCATGACCACCACAGCTCTTATAAAGGAAAACATTTAATTGAGGCTGGTTTACGGTTTCAGAGGTTCAGTCCATTATCATCATGACGGGACCTGGTGGTATGAAGGCAGACATAGTGTTAGAGGAGGAGCTGAGGGTTCTACATCTTGCTCTGCAGTTAGCAGAAGGACTGCCACACTAGGCCTAGCTTGAGCATATGAGACCTCAAAGCCCACACCTGCAGTAACACACTTCCTCCAACAAGGCCACACCTACTCCAACAAAGCCACACCTCCTAATTGTATCATTACATATGTACTGAGCATTCAAACACGAGTGTATGGGGTCTACTCCTGTTCAAACCAGCATAGTCCCTGTGCTCACATCATTTCTGATATAGAACAAATCTACATGATTAACAGTTCGGCCGTGTTTGAAATCTTGGAGAGTAATCACATGTGATTTTATTGGGGGCAATGAATGTGCTACTCTATTTCAGGTAAAAAGAATCTCGGAAGACCCTCCCTGCAAGTGCCCAACTAAGTTCTGTGTGGAGCGGCTCTCTCAAGGTCGATATCGAGTGGGAGAGAAGATCCTCTTCATCAGGGTAAAGTCCACTTTCTCCTTCTCATCTTGTCCTACATGAGCATTTTCTGAACCTGAGTCAGAGAAAATGTCAAGGAATGTGACTGGCCAGGAACACCCTCTGGTGTCATTGTGGCTGCAGGATGTGGACCTGTGCAGAGCAGTAGATATGATAATATGCTACCAAAGGCTGGGTGAACAGAGCATGTCTTTATACATACAGAGGTATCAGCTCCCATGGAAAAAGGTAGCCATTTATGTTTCCTGTATTCATTTCATTTCAGTAGAATGGAATGAAAATATGCCCTTCCAGGACTTCCACATATCACAGTGTGGAAATAAATCATCGCCCTATTGGTTCTGGGCAGCTTTGCAGATTAGTTCAGCATTGGTTTTCCACAAGTCTGGATTAGGAACCGATGTGATGAGATTGAAAAGCTCTGTCTTGGGAACTGGAGATGGAGCGCAGATGGGAGGAGGCTTGCCTTGCATTTTGGGGTCCTGGATTTGATCCCCAAAACTGCACAAAAATCACCTCACTACAGTATTCTGCTTAACAGTGACTAACACTTCCCCCCTGGGTTAGAAGAGAGAGAAGGGCCTCAGCTTAAATCACCAGTGTCCTCGGGGGGGGGGGGGGGGCTGACAGGGCTCTGTGAAGTTGAGTTGAAAGCTTTTCACTCAGAATCTGCTTTGCTAACAGTCAAGAGAGCTTGGTGTCTCAAAACAAGTTTGTGATATTTGCTAAGGGCAAAAATTTTTCTTTAAAAAAACTGAAAATATAACTACATATATCTACCCCTAGAAAGCTTTGGTTCAGAAAAGGACTTTTTCTGTGTCTTTTGGTGTTCTTCCTAAAGAAAGCACGCTTTATTCACTTCTCCTTTGAACCTGGTGAAAGCATCCTGTTGGTTTCCTCCTCGTAGACGGAAGCATCTTAACGTATATATCAGGTGAGATTGTAGAACACCAGACACCATCTGAGATGACCCATAGGAGACTTTTCAGTGTGAAATTGTATTCATTTTAACTTGCAACTGAAATGTATTAATACAGCAGGCCTCTTTAAGAATCTGCAACATGGATAAACAAATCTTTATCTTAATTTTATCTTAAACTATGTCAATCATTTCAGATTTTTACCTAATTTCAGATTAATGTTTACTTGATAAAAACAAATCCAGGTAAAAATGGCTTTTCTGCTTGGGAATGTCAGCCTTGTGACATGAATAGTGTTAGAGGTGGTCACCCTGGGTCCAGGGCCTCAGCTGGAGAGGCAGGCGTCCAGGTTGCTCTTGTTGCCTTGCTCTTTCTTGCAAGGAAAACATGCATTTTTAAAGCTCCGTTGCCTGCTTTCCCATCACCACATTAAATAACAATGCTTTAGAGTCTCTATGGATGCATTAACATTTTACCAGGCTGATTGCTCAGTTGAGAATCAGCCTCCATTAGAATATGAGACCCCAGAGCCTACAGTCAAAACAAAGGGCCTTATTAAACAGCCTTCCCTTTTTGTGATAGAAATGTTAATAACTTGGACACTGTTTCCTCAGATGTCACCTAGGATCTACAGGCAAAAGAATCCAGTGAGCATACTTAATTGTGTCTGTCTGATCTTCACGTGTGCTCAATTGTCAGACTTGGGTTTCCATGTTTACAAACTGCGTAACATTTGATAGCAGCTGTCAGGTGAGCTACTGTCTCATGGTCCTTGTCCTTTTCAGGAAACGTTTCCTTCCTGCTAATTCTATTCTATCATTTATAGAAGAATTCAGACTTTTATCGTGAGTGCTAGTGTTTACACTTAGTATCGCACACTCAGGCAAGCCTGTAAAATCGTGACCCACAGAACTGTCTCTCACTGACTGGTAGCAAGGTATAGCATCAGGCTGTTAGGACATGCTTTCAGCAGTTTTTTGTTTTGTTCTGTCTTAAGGCTGTTAGGACATGCTTTCAGCAGTTTTTTGTTTTGTTCTGTCTTGTTCCTATCTATCTATCTATCTATCTATCTATCTATCTATCTATCTATCTATCTATCTATCTATTTTGTTTTTTCGAGACAGAGTTTCTCTGTTAGCTTTGGAGCCTGTCCTAGAACTCACTCTGTAGCCCAGGCTGGCCTCGAACTCACAGAGATCCATCTGCCTCTGCCTCATGAGTGTTGGGATTAAAGGCATGCGCCACCACCGCCCGCTTTCAGGAGTTTTTAGTGACACTTAGCCATAAATCCTGTACTTTCACATAGTTTTACACTTTTATAACACTTTTCATGTGAAAATTGATTTTTTTCAAATGGTATAGTTTTAAGGAAATTTTGTATCACTGCTTAAACTGGAAACTAAATCTTTTCACGAAGTTAAATGCCATGAACACATACTCACAGATATTTTTAATATTTTTATTCTTGAGAATTTCATGTATACATGTTTTCATCGTATCCACTTTACTCTCCTTTTAACTCCTCACTACATCCCCTTCCAGTTTCATGTCTTGTTTTTTTAACAACCCATTGGGCCAGATTAGTGTTGCCTGTATAAACACAAGTGTGGGGTCATCAGTGGACGTGGTCAACCTGCCTAGAGCCGCTTACCTGAAAATAATTCATTCAGCCACAGCTGTTGGGAGTTCCTGAGTGCAGTGGCCACTGAGTGTCCAACAGACACCATTTCACAGCACTCCTCTCCGTACCCCTATCTCTCTACCCCCTCTTTCCTGATGCTTCCTGAGTCTGAGGATCAGGGGTCGTGATCTAGAGACCCACTATGGTTAAGAACTTCACACATGCTAATTCTCTGTACTGTGACCAGTTGTCTCTACAGCAACTGCCATCTATTGCACAGAACAGCTTTCAAAGATGTAATATTTGTCCTGTGAGTCTGTGTCCACCATGATAGAGTGCTCTTGGAATCTGAGACAACTTCTGCTTGTCCTTAGAGACTTCCTAACTGAAGTCTGAGGCACCCCACACTGTACATTTCTCTATTTTCTCACTGTGTTGGATGAGATGTTCTATAGCCCACTGATAAACATGTGCTTTGACTAATGCTTTAGATTTGTGTCTGGCTGGGCCTCACGTGGTGGATTGTCATTGTGCTCTGATTGTGTGAGGAAGTGGCAGTCATTACTCAGAAACCAGTGGTGCTGATCTTATGGCTGTAGAAGGTAATATTTTAACTGTGGTTCTGAACACTTGGATTAAAGGGCACGTGTTTATAGTGGAATCCTCGGACACAGGAGTCGGGTGGCCATTTCCAATAGCTCAGTTGCATTTTTTTTGTATGAACATATTTTAAACTTTTAAACTTCACCTGAAGCTATCTAATACAGCTTCTTTGATACATTTATGAATATTATTATATAAAATATACAGACAGTGAAACATGCTATCTCAGGCTTCATCCTCCATTATTCATCCATCATGAGAGCAGCTTTGTTTTCCTAAGGACATAATGAACCTGCTGAATTCAAAGAACAATGCAGAGTCAGTAAGGCCATTGAAATCATCAGACTTCAGGGTATCTGAGTGATCAAAGCACAGGTTTAGAAAGAATCAGCAAGTCCTACACGGGATTATTATACCCAGTGCAGTAACTCTTCCCTCATACCATTTTGTGGTTGGATATATACATGAGCATATTTTCTCTTTGTACATTGAAAGAAAAACAATAATGTTAAAGTAGATTTTAAAAAGTAGGTAAGAATGTGTATGGCATTCAGAGAAAGACCCGGGCAGGTACCTTATGCAGTGTCTCTGCTAAGTATATGTATTATCTGTGAATTTGTAGAACACAGCATAACTAATGCACATTTCAATAGATGCCATTGGATGCTTATGTAGACATCTTTGTTCATATGTGCAAGTGTCTAGAGCAGTAGCTCTCAACCTTCCTAACATTTCAACCCTTTAATACAGTTCCTCATGGTGTGGTGACCACCCCAACCATAAATTCATTTCCTTACTACATCATAACTGTAATTTTGCTACGGTTTTGAATCATAATGTAAATATTTTTAGAGATATAGGATTGCCAAAGGGGTCATTACCCACAGGTTGAGAACCTCTGGTCTAGAGGCTTGACTTAGTCTCTACCCAAATATAAATATAATGAAACCCTTAGTACAAAAAACAAACTCTGTAGTCTTTTTATTCTGGTATTAATCTAAATCTTAGTAATCATCTCTCAAATGAAAAAAGAAATTGTCTCCAGCTGGTGAACAACAATTTCTCAAAGCCAGGTTTTCCCTTGTATTTTTTCATGAACAAAATTTTGGGGTTGTTTTGGGGAGCTGGACTGGGGAGTTGGTTCACTGAGTAAAGCACTTGCCACACAAGCATGGGGAACTAGGTCCATCAAAATCCAGGTAAAATTGCACCTGGTAGCCTGTGCCTATAACCTCAGCAGGTGGAGACAGAAGAGTCCCTGAAGCTCGCAGGGCAGGTAGCCTGCTTACCAGCAGCAAAATGCAAAGGAAAACCTGTGTTTGCAAAGGTAGAAGACAAGGACAGGCCCCAGGGGTTGTTCGGTGACCTCTGTATGTGCACGGTGGTATGTGTGGTTGTGGTCACACACTAGAACCTATGTGCCCATGCACACAAGCATATACACACAAAGTACTTTTTTCCAACATAGTATTTGTATTGATTATTTGGATATTTCACATCATGCACCCTGTTCACACTCACTTCCCATTCCTCCCAGGTCTGCCCTCACCCCTTGTGACTCCCCGCCCCCTGAAAAACACGAAGAAAAAAAGAAGAACACAAGTCCAATTTGTGTTGCCCATATGCTCACTGGAGCATGGTCACACTCCCAGCAGCCAGCCCCTTAAAGAGAACTGAGTCCTTCTCCACCCACACCCCTGCCAGAAGCCCTCAGTTGAGTTTTTGGTGTTTTGTTTTTTCATTAAAAGCAGCTTTGCATCTATTCTGAAGGTAGAACCTTACTGTCATCCAAGGTAAATCTCATTGATTTCGGAATTTAGATGGTCATGACAAAAAATCTCTAATAATTTCTACAGTGA